GTGGCGCTGCCGTCCACGCGAACCCTGACGGCGTCGGTGAGCAGCACGCTGTGGTGGAGCGACGTGGCGTGCCCGACGCTTGCTGTGACGACGACGGCGGCTGGTGGGAGCCTGACGCAGAACGACATCCGTGGCGGTGGGAGCGCCGTCCCGACACGGCTGATGGTGGCGCTGCCACCGCCGTTTCGGTGGGCACGCGACCCGCAGCTCGGCACGCACCTGAGCTTCGTGCCGGTGTCGACGGCGCAGCCGAGCGGGTTTGGTGGTCCGTGGGGAGCGATGCTGAGCAACGCGACGTGGGTGCGCAACGCGACGAATCCGTCCACCGTCCTGGAGCTGGCTGTGCCCGTGCACCGCGGTTACTTCATTGCTGCCGACGAGACGCTAGTCATTCGCTGCGACGCTGTGGCTGTGTCCGGCGGCTGCAAGGGTGTGCTGCTTGGGTCCTTCACGATCAGGTCGAACACGCTGCCCACCGCTGCCAGAGCCCTCTCGGCGATCACCGGCGTCGTTGCGGGTGCGGCGGCTGTTGCCGTGGTGGTGACCGGCGGGCTGGGCTCCATCCTGGAGATGCAGGTGCTCGGCGTGTTCGCGAGGATGCCATGCGCCTCGGCGCAGGAGCGTGCGAGCACTGTCGCGCTGCCGTACTTCCTGTCGGTGTTCGCTGCCCTTGACCCGCTGTGGATGGTGGTGGGCAACGCGCTGCTCGCCGCTGTGTTCGGGTGCGTGCACTGCGGTGTGACGGCCGCCTTCCAGCGGTGGCGCGGTGTGGACGCGGCGAGTGCATGGGCGGCGATGCGCTTCCCGAGCCTGACGTACGTCGTGGCCCACGCGATGCACCTCGGCATCTTCTTCGGCTCCGTGCTCGCACTGGCGATGCCCGGCGCCCGCGTGCAGCACCGCGTGATTGGTGTGGTTGGCGTGCTGTACGGTGTGGCGTTTCCTGCTGGTGTGTGCTACTTGATTGCCCGCCACGTGGGCGCGAGCTTCACGAAGTACTGGCAGTTTTCGAGGAAGCCGCTGCACGAGCGACTGCTGTACCCCGTCGGGTATTGGCACCCCGCGGTGCAGCAGCGGATGTACGGCGGCATGCTGACGAACATGAGGGGCAGTTACGTGTACTGGTGCGTGTTCCAGCTGTCGGTGCTGTGTGTGGTGTGCCTGATTGCTGCTGTGCAGCCGCCCGTGGGAGGCTGCCACGTCCAGTACTTCTGCATGGCGGCTGTGCTGCTTGCGGGTGCGGGCGTGGTTGCCTTCACGAACATGATGCGCTCGGCCTTCCTGACGGTGATGCGCACTGCGAGCTTTGTGCTCCTTGCGGCGCTGTGCCTGGTCAGCGCGGCAAACCATCTTGCGCCGAGCGACGGCGGTGCGAGGGCGTACGCGGGGATCGTGCTGCTGCTGACTACTGTGCTGCTTGGGATCGCTGTGTACAGCGTCGTCGTGTGGTACGCGGAGGACCACCACTGGCAGGAGCTGCGCGAGCCGCAGCGTGGTGGGCTGGAGGCATTGCTGCGCGATGACGAGGATGACGACGAAGAGACACAGAAGCCACACGACGTGACGTCATCGTCGTACGCCTCAGGCACCACCGTTGCGTCGTCGTACCGACCACCCGCACCGCCGTTGCAGCCTATGGCTGGTGACACCCGCTCAGACGCCCTGAGCCTGCTCGACCATGCTTCGAGTGCGAGCCGTATGATTGATCGCGCAGCCATGTGACGTACACCACGTGGAATTAGTAAGTATGCGGTGCTGGTTGGGCGATAGCGAGGGGTCTCGGCTGCTGTACCATAGCCACTCATTGCCCACTGCACTGGCAGCGTTTTTGATTTTTGGTTTCCGTGACTATTTCTATTTTTATTTTTATTTTTTGTTTGAGCGTTTGTATTCCTTTCTCCTGTTGCACGATGACTGTGTGGGAGGACACGCTCGTTTCTGCTATCGCAATTCCTGCTGTTGTGTTGTTTTCTGTCGTAACTTTGTGCTGTTGTCCGTGGAACTCCTTGCCCCATCTTGTGCATTGCACGACGGATTAAACAAGCTACGTGTTGAATTATTGTCTTTTCATTATTTTTTTGTTACTTTAACTCAGATTATTATGTAAGAGGCACCACAATTCTCACGAGTAAGGCGACAAAGTAATATTGTTTGTAGGGATACAGACTCACAAGAGGGCCCTTGAGTGGAATTATGTATTGAGGTGCGACCCCCTTCTCGAAATCCGCTTGCTTTGGCAGAGCGAGTGCACAGGGCGATCCATGTCTCTTTAGCAGCATTGGCAACAGGCACAATCATTCCAGCAACACGGCATTCTTGTCTTTGGGCGCTCCGCTGCTACGATTGATACCCACTCATGTGGTCACGTGGAGCGCCGGGCCGCGGATGGTGCAGCGCTGGAATGTATCGCCCCGCACGATTAGCAATTTTTTGTGTGTTCTGGCGACGGATTAAAGTTCAACCAAATTTGTTTTGAGTGACTGCGTAACGTGTGTGTTTGTCATGGCTTTTATTGCGTTTCTCCTTTCAAAGGGATTGGCGTTTTCTTCCACGTTTCCACTTGTTGGGCATGGACGAGCTTCACGATGGTGGATGGCGTGCGGGCTATTGGATCCATTTGAAAATACACGAGGAAAGAAGAAAAAGCGGCGTGGACGTCATTGCCGGGGAGTTCATTGCTCGACATTGCAGTTGTTGTACTGGAGTTGCCGCTCCACAAGGCAAGCCAGCCCACATACTAAGCGTGCAGAGCGAGTACATATTGGATTGGTGCGCCTCGAGGGGGTTTCTCCTCTCCAATGTAGGATTGCCGCCAACAGCATTCAGCACCCATGGCACAGCTATAGTTCTCGTACTTCTTGCGCCCCAATGTCGACTCACCTAACATAAGGTGATGCCGGAGGTTCCGCGGAAAGGTGATCGGATGTTGGCACTCGCAGACCCCAGCATCAAGGAGTGCTCTCTGCCACGGCGTCCCATATCCATCTGCTTGCCTAGAGTAACGGACGCCCATATTTGATCTGCGTGTAATTGCATCACAGGGAGCCGGGCCGAGGCAGGCTTCTTGGAGCGGGCACTCAAATACTTACTCCATTCTAGACCGTTGGCCTCAGCACGGCCGCGGTCGTGCCCCAATGCCAAAAAGGGACAATGAGAGACGATTGCATTTGGGAACACTACGGCGAGGCCATTGCGGCTCCACCCCTCATCGAACACAGAACTTTGGGACGGCCTGTGAGCTTTATCTACGGCACGACAGGAGGCGGCGTTATTCAACGCGGCGTGCTCCACCAAGGTTGTTTCGGCCGACGCTCTGGCGGTGAGGACCGTATACCGGCAGCAGTACAGCGTCCCGGCAGTCACGGTGTGGGAATTGCGGTTGGACCTGCAACAACTCCGGCCAACGTCGGCGCCCGGCAACGACGGCATTTTTTTGTCTCCCACAGACGTTTGGCAATGCCCTTGAACCACGTCTGGCAAGGACATACAAGAAGGTTCTCTGAGACCTTACAAACGTTCCGGCGTTCTGGAAGCGCTGCACTTTCATTTTGCTAATTGAGCCTGGAAAGACACCGGATGCAGCCGAAGGCGACCGTCCGGTCCGCATCACCTCATTACTCTCCAGTGTCTGTGAACGGGCGGTTCTGGAAGGTGCGCTTCTGGCTACGCACGGCCCGATGTGTGACGCGCAATGTGGCTTTCTTTGTTGCCGCACGACGGTGGAAGCAAGAACAACGAGGATCCTTGTCCCGGTGCGTCTCGGCATGGAGACCCCTGAACGCTGGCGACAAATTGGGCGCAAGAATCATCCGAGCAGGAGCAGCAAAGCATGACGGGAGAGCATACCGGCCCTCCTAGGCTTTACTGACGGCTTTTGCAAGGCCTCACACCGTCACATTATGGATGGTACACTGTCCTTGGGTGTCTCGACGTAACAGCAGAGGTTTATGCTCGCTTGGCTGACGGATAGACGTGGGCGCACCTTCTGTATGGGATGTTACTCTGTCTGGGCACTGCTACCGTGCGGTGCTCCTCAAGGATCTGTTCTTGGACCGTGGCCATTCGAAGTATTTCTCGATGACCTAGGACGTAGCTTTTATCCAGCGCATTTGCCGGCGGCCATTGCCCCCCCGATTGTGCACCTTCCGATCATCGATCACACTATCACTGCGGGCATTGTGGCCTATGCGTGTGATGTGATCGTGAGGGATACCGTGCCAGGCATAACTCATTTGGATGAGGCGATGCAACCGCTCTTTAATGCCATCTCGGAGTGAACAAGAGCCAAGGGTCTTCCACTCTCGGACAGGACCTCCTTTATGGCGATGCGCATTGCAGGGCACCACAAATTCCCTGTACCGGATTTCTTCAGAATTAACGGACGACGGTACCCCTGCGAGAGGTAATCCCATAAGATCCTGGGGGTTACTTTGGACGCCCTCACCAGTTTTGAGGAGGATGTCCGGCGCCGCAAGGCCAGAATTTAACAGATCAATTTTTTTACCGCAATTCTCTGTGTGGAAGACGACACCCCACACGGGTGCGGTCTTACGCATGGACGGCAGGGCAGTTTCTTTTTTATGGTTGTGGGGTCCGCACACTTTCCCACGCACACACCTTCAGTGTTGTCACAGTTTTTGCAAGGCTTGACCTCAGTCATCAAGGCGGTTGCGGGACTACCCAGCGATGCGGGAACTGCCGACACCCACCTGGACAGCGTCTTCTCCACACTGGAGGTCTGCGTGCAAGGAACAATCCTGAGGGCTGTAGCAATTTGGACCTCTCCGCCGGGGCATCGGTGGACCCAATATTACGAGCCCCCTATTCCTTGCAATATTGTGCCGGACCTTCGCCTGCTGGTGTATCTTTTTTCCTCCTACATGTACGAATTGACCGCGTC